AAACCTTGCCACGCAAACCCAACACAGGGTGCAGTTGATGACAAGCTCTTCAATGTTTAAAGGGATTTTGTCTGAGAAATTCTGATGATCAGATCTGGCCCCCAGATCCCCACTGCTCCCAGGCAGACCCTGAACTAGAGCATGACCAACACCTCGGGAGCCCATGGGCAGAGGCCCTGCTCCCCACAGCACACTCAGCTAGCACAAACCAGAGCTCCATCCAGGGAGCTGCATGAAGGTCCTGCCAAGCAGGAAAATGGGTGGGTGTGTGGTGGGAGAAGAGTCTGTGAGAAATGTGCTCGGTTTTTCTCAGACAAGTCTGTCCTCACTTGTCACTGTTTTTTCGTCTTTGCACAGGCCGCTGAGTCCATAGGGAGAAAATGTCCAACAGCAGCTCCATCACTGAGTTCCTCCTCCTGGCATTTGCAGACACACGGGAGCTGCAGCTCTTGCACTTCTGGCTCTTCCTGGGCATCTACCGTCCTGGGCAAGGGCCTCATCATCACTGCCATCGCCTGCGACCACCACCTCCACAGCCCCATGTACTTCTTCCTCCTCAACCTCTCCCTCCTCGACCTGGGATCCATCTCCACCACTGTCCCTAAAGCCGTGGCCAACTCACTCTGGGGCACCAGGGCCATCTCCTATGGGGGATGTGCTGCACAAGTCTTTCTGCTTGTCTTTTTGATTGGAGCAGAATATTCCCTTCTCACCGTCATGGCTTATGACCGCTATGCTGCCATCTGCCAACCCCTGCACTATGGGACCCTGCTGGGCAGCAGAGCTTGTGTCCACATGGCAGCAGCTGCCTGGGGCAGTGGGTTTCTCAATGCTGTGCTGCACACTGCTAACACATTTTCACTTCCACTCTGCCATGGCAATGGTATGGACCAGTTCTTCTGTGAAATTCCCCCGCTCCTCAAGCTCTCCTGCTCAGATGCCGACCTCAGGGAAATTGGGCTAATTGTGGTTACTGCATTTTTTATCTTCGCTTGTTTTATTTTCATCATGCTGTCCTATGTGGAGATCTTCAGGGCTGTGCTGAGGATCCCCTCTGAGCAGGGACGGCACAAAGCTTTTTCCACATGCCTCCCTCACCTGGCTGTCATCTCCTTGTTTATCAGCACTTTAATGCTGGCCTACCTGAAGCCTCCCTCCATCTCCTCCCCAGCTCTGGATCTGGTGGTTACTGTTCTGTATTCAGTCATGTCTCCAGCAATGAACCCCCTTATCTACAGCATGAGGAACAAGGAGCTCAAAGGCGCATTGAAGCAACTAATCCTACTGGTGGTATTTCAGAAGCAGTGAAATGCACACGTGATCTCCAATCGACCCCAGACAGGTGGTATGCTTTGGGTGTTCTGTCATTGATAATCTTGGTCATACACGAAAGACTGCAGTCATCCCACTTCTCCAGGGACACAAACGCTGTCTGTCTGACCCAGAGGTCCTCTCTAAATGTTTCTGTCACCACGTTACGGCTGGGCTCCTGTGAGTCATCTCTCTAATGAAACAGGAGTTTGTCAGTTCACAGCCTGAGGCTTGGCATTTACTTCCAAAGCTGGACTCAAGAATATCTTTGAGGAACTGCAACCCAAAAGGCTGCAGGGAGTATCTGCTCAGCTTTTACCAACAGTGGGTCCATTGCTGATGCATCTAGAACCAGCTGTGCAGAGCATGGGTTAGCCCCTTGCTTCTTCTCACAGAGATGACCCCTGCAGCACTGCCGCTACCTACACCCAATAAATGAAGTTATTCTTCCCCTGTGTAGACATCACTCCCTTCACTTTGTTTACCTTCAGGAGGTTTCTGCTGGCCAAACCCTCAAGTCTTTCACCTCCCTTGGACTGAAGATTCACTTTTCCATCTGTTAAAAGCAAGTGAGCGATGGCTCATCCTCCCTTGGGGTGGCTCTAACAGGGTAACAACATCAGGAATTGAAGGGCACTACAGACAATAAATGGTGTATACATTGAAAGGAATTGCTGCCCAAGGTAGAAAGTACCACAGCAACAGCTTAGAAACATTGGAAGAGGATACAAAATATTAAGAGTATGGCGCATGGGGAAAGGGATAGCAGGGTAGGCTGATCTGAGTGTATAAGGATGTTAAAACAGAAGGATGTGAGAGGGGGAGAAGAGGATAAATGGGAGTGAAAGATATCAAGGCAGTGATCATGGCTGTTTGGGGTGCCTGTGAGGCAGCCCTGCACTTGATGTGAATTACATCTGTGGTAACCTAACCCTGGCAACAGGCACTGTAGCAGAACCAAAAAATCAACCTGCACCGGTATCAGTGACCCCCATACACAAGAAGAAATTCACAAAAAAATCAGTTCATTAAGTTAGGGATGACGATGAACCAGGACCATCACGAGAACAGGAGGAAGAGGCAGAACCAGAGTTAATCACCCGATCCCTGTCCCTGAGGGAGCTGTGAGATATGTGAAAAGACTTCAGCCACCACCCAGGTGAGCCCATCATTACCTGGCTGCTCTGATGCTGGGATAATGGGACCAGTAGCCTGGAATTGGAGGGAAGGAAGGCCAAGCAGCTGGGATCCCTGTCTAGGGAAGGAGGCATCCAGACGGCAATTGGAAAAGGGGCATAAGCCCTCAGCCTCTGGAGGTGACTTCTTTCAAGCATGAGGGAAAGGCATTCCTTCAGTGAAAATGTTTTATGTCAAGTAGACCACCATGGAGAGACGTATCCAGTACTTGAGGGAATTAGCTGTGCAGAAAATGGTTTATTATCACCCAGGCATCGCGCAGTTACCCACAGAACCTGCTTATGTCCAATGTATCCAACCCATGTGGCAAAAGTCTGTAGGGAGAGTGCCATCTTTGTATGCCAACTCATTGGCAGTAATGGACTGGAAAGGTGAAGAGGCATCAACAGTGGATGAAGTAGCTGGCTGACTCGGGCAATACAAAGAAAGAGTCTCTTCCTCCCTTATCTCAG